TGTGAAATAAAAAATAGTAAAATTTCGAATGCAATTGTCTTTATGTTTTATGATTAACAATCGTGATATATATATATTTTTTTATCAGTTAATTAAATTGTGTATTAAGATGATTAATTAGATCATTACATGATTAAGTTATTGAATAGCAACAATAACTTAGATCAGAAATAAAAAGTCTCGCGGCTCAATTTTATTTTTTTTATTAAAAAAAAAATAAGTATCAAACTTGTTTTCTAATAAATCTTTCACGATATCTAGCCTTAGCTTACCCACTTCTTTAACTTTTGATCCCACTTCTTCAATTTCTAGCCCTGCTTCTTCAGAGGTTCTTGATCCTGTTTCTTTAGAAATTCCCGATTTTATTTCTCCAATTCCTGATCTTTCAGATGAAAATATTCATGAAAGTTACTCAGAAAATGATACTATTAATAATGTTATTAAAAACAAAAAAACAAAAAATTCAAAAAAAAGAACAGCACCCATTCATGATTATCTAGAGGAACTTGAAGATAGTACCCGTGTTTGTGAAGTATGTCCTAACATTCTTGGCATTAAGGAGCCCGGTAAATGGAGTCCAGGTACATCTTTATCGACAATATCACGCCATTTCGAAAGTAAGTATCCAAGCCTCTATAGAGATTTCAAACAAAAAAATGCAAAAGTTACCCATTCTTCATATTCAACGACTGATAAAGTTAGCAAAGATCATATAAAATCTTTAAATCACGATCTATATCAATTAATAATTAAGAAACAGTTAGCATTTTCAATAGTTGATAAAGATTCTTTTATTAAATTTGTTGCAAATCTTGATCCACGATATAAGCTTCCATGCCGTCAAACAGTCTCTACAACTATTAGAAATAAATTTGAATCTATAAGAATCGAAATAAAACATATATTAAAATCAAATCGTAGCAAACTAGCACTTACTATCGATGTTTGGACAGCATGTAATAAACAACAATTCCTCGGTATTACTATCCACTGGGTCGATGCAGAGTGGGAAATGAAAACCCTTCTTCTTGATTTCATTCCTTTACACGACTCTCATACTGGTGCGTATCTCGGTGAAAAAGTACTTGAGGTCATTGAAGATTTAGAGATTAAAGATAAAATTATAGTAAGTATTATATATAAATACTTTAATATGTATTGATAAAAAAAAAAAAAAAAAACATGTATTAATATTTTAACATTATTAATCTATTACTGCAATAGGGTTTTACTAAAGATAATGCTTCTAATAATCAAACGTGCTTAAGTTATCTCCAAAATCATATCAACCTGGATTTCACTTATATACGATACGCTGCACATATTTTGAACCTCGCAGTCAAAGATGGCCAAAAATATTATAACATACAGGTAAAAAAGGTGCAGTGTATCTGTAATAAGATTAGAAATTCCCCTTTGCTTTTGAATGAGATAAAGAGAATTTTTGCTATTTATAATCGCCTATTTCTCCATCCTGAGCTTGATGTTGAGACAAGATGGAACTCTATTTATCTTATGATTAAACAATTTATTGAAATTCAAGATATTATAGATAATCTTGTAAGACTTCATTCTACTTTAAAAGAAGATTATTTAGATGCTGAAGATTGGGTAATAGTTAAGGAAATAGTACAGTTTCTTGAACCCTTTTACAAAGCCACATTAGAGTTATCCAAAACTTTATTACCCTTACATGGTTTATTACGAATAATTTTTCAAGGACTTTTAACACATTTTAACTCCTATATTGGGAAAACAAATATAAGTATATATCGTGATGCAGCTCAAGAAACAAAAAAAAAAATAACAAAATACTGGACTTATCTCTCGCAATCTTCAGCTATTCCAACTCTTCTTGATCCGTCTGTTAAGTTCGAAACCTTTACTGAAGAAGAACGCCAATCGGCTATTGAAAGTCTAAAAAACTCTTATTTTCTTTACCACATAGATAGAGAGGAAATACAGTCTAAACAAGATCCTTTAAAATATTTTTGGAATCTGGAAAATTCAAATAAAAATAAAGAATTTACAACAAATAAACTAGCCACTTATCTTTCACTACCTCCAGAGCTAAACACTAATCCACTGTGGTGGTGGAAAACAAAAGCCAACTACTTTCCAAATGTAGCTTTGATGGCAGCTAATTATTTTGCACTACAGGCTACAAGCGTTCCCTGCGAACGTGCCTTTTCTGTGGCCAAACATACTTTAAATCTTGAGAGAAGCAGCCTTCTTGAAGAATCAACAAGAGCTTCTTTATGTATAAAGAGTTGGTCTGAGGCAGGAATCCTAAAAATAAATGTAGAATAAAATTGTTTTATATATATGTATTTTTTAGCAATAAGCAGTACTACAGTAAAGAAAGGTTAAAGATATAAATTATTGTTATTGATTATCTATATAGCGATGGTATTAGTAATCACGTTATCATATGCAAGGACTGACTCAAGGACTGAGTCCCAATCAAAAGTCCCTATTTGTGAGTCAGAACCGATAGGACCGGACTTTTAACAGCCCTACCCTAATGAAACAATCCAAAACTATGCCAATCAAACTACACAAAACCTTAAACACATTCTTCCCAAAATTCCTTTAA